TCTGGGTACATGGACCCTTAAACTTACACACATCCCTTCAGCTGCCCTAAGGCCCATGGTTCCCGAACCTCGGTCCGAAATGCGGAGCCCCTAACTCCGGAGCCTGAAAGCCTCTACCCCAAACCCTGAAACGCCAGAGCATCCATGGTTAGGGTTTAGGGTTTAGGGTTTAGGGTGTAGGGATACCCCAACCCGTAAGGCTTAAGGCTTTGAGTTTGGGGTTTATATAGGGTTTAGACCCCGACCAGTAAGGCTTAAGGCTTGAATCCTAAATCCTTATGGAGCAACTGGAGAACTCTTGAGTCTTATTTATAGAACCTCTGCAGATCCCCGACAGGAGCCCGACCAGGAATTGAGCCTCTTTCTTCCCCGTCTTAATAGGGTTTAGGGTTTAGGGTTTAGGGAAGGGTTCCCGCCTCCTTCTTGCCGAGAACTCAAACGCATTTGAAGCACCCTAAACCCTAAACCCGTAAAGGAACCGTTCTTGACGCACCTATATTACAGAAACCAATTATGCCATATGGTATCCATGATTATAAGACCCCCGCCCCCCCTTCCCGCCTCCTTCTTCTTTTTCTTCTTCTCTTTCTGCGGCTTTGCCGGCTCAGCGGGTGCTGCTGGGGCAGCGGCCACGGGAGGATCGCTCCCTGATCAGAAACCGAAGAAGACAGAGAAAAGCTGGCGGCCAAGGTTTTGGGCTTAGGATTCAGGCTGTAAACCTAAACCCTAAACCTAGCAGAAGGCTTTGGAATCTATGGTCAATTCCGGGGTTGTCAAGGTTTGGCGCCTGAAGCTGCTTAGCAATGTATCCCTAAACCCTAAACCCTAAACCCTATAAACCCTATAAACCCTATAAACCCTAAACCCTAAACCCTATAAGCCCTAAACCCTAAACCTTATCTACGATGTGTTGTGTTGACCAGGCACCCGTAGCACGCAAACATGACTGAAAACCTGGCTCGGCGTCTGCATGTCGGCGGGGTCCGTCGCCGTAAAACATCTAAGAGAGTCCGCATATAGAAGCCTCAGAGAAAGCCACCCCTGAACCACATAGCCCCAAATGCTGGAGCCTAAACCAAAAAAAGGGTCCAAAGTATCTATAATGGCAGAAATCTAAGATTTCTATTTTATTGTCATCTTTGAACAGGCCCGTCAAGGAACCATAACAGTACATAGGACCCTTTGGGAAAACCGGTAACCCCAAACCCAAAGAAGGCCTTAAAGGACTCTTTATATAGGACATTAAACCCAAAACCCAAAAACCCCAAACCCCTAAGACCCTGAACCCTATACCCTAAACCCTAAAACCTTAAAGCCCTAAACCCTAAACGTAAGAGCCAGACTCTCGAAGCATGTCGCCGGCTCTTGGACCACCTCGGCCACCGCCTCTTTGAACCGTCGCTCAGGCGCTACCGGGTTCAGGGGTTTAGGGTTTAGGGGTTTAGGCGGCTTGGGGTATAGGGTGTAGGATTGGGTCCGCCCAATTCGGGTTTAGGGTTTAGGGTTTAGGGTTTAGGGTTCTTCTATTCTATTGGGCTTGATAGGTGAGCTATCAAGGTTTCGCGAACGGGGGAGGCGTTCGCAAGAGTTTTTGATTTTTTCTGCAGGGTTGGGTCCGCATGGTGCACGTATTTATATAGGTATTTGGGGTTTAGGGTTTGGGGTTTAGGGTTGAGGGTTTTAGTAATTAGGTTTAGGATGGAATGCCTTCGGGCGCAGGTCTTCTCAGCAAGGTTCCTGGCAAAGATAGAACATAATGCGAAAGCCTAAATGCAACATGATTCCGTTATGGTCCCTCTCTAACTTCGCAAGAATATATCCCGAAACCCTGTTCCAAATACGAAGGTCGTTCTACTACCAAAGCTTTATTGAACTTTGTTGAGCCTCTGATACTATAAGGCCCCTAACCCTATAAACCTTGGACCCTCAACCCTAGACCCTAAACCCTAAACCCTAATTCCTAAACCCTAAACTAGCGTCTTCACTCTCCTGGGACGCAAGGCTTTGTAAGAGTGTGGGCTTAGGGTTGTGGTCCTAGGGTTCAGCTTAGGTAGTAGGGTTTGTGCTTTCAGAAAATAGGGTTTCACCAATATAGAGCAAACTACATACTAGCGGAGACCCCCGGCTGCGTTTAGGTTTAGGGAACCGCAAATCCTAAATCCCAAACCCCTGAACCCCAAATCTTAAATCCAACCCCTGAACCCTAAAACCCGGATCCTACGTACCCCCCCCCATAACCCGGTGCAGACGTAGGCACAAGAGGCCTGGACAGGTTCTGCCAGCGCAGGGTCCTGCAAAAAGAAAGGTTCCATGAAGGCTTCATGACGGTTCTATAGGTTTTAGGGTTTAGGGTTTAGGGTTTAGGGTTTAGGGTTAGGGCCATAAGTGTTTTAATTGGTTTGGCTCGAGCTTTTGGCAACAGTTAACACAAGAATCACCTCCTTTGTGACGCTACTCACTTCCCCTTAGCCTTCTAGTATCCCTTATGCCTGAAACCCAGCCACGAACCTGAAACCTCAAAGCATGCACCCCCCCGGTTCAGAACCGACTGATAACTTCAAAAAATGGCCTATCTATATAGGTTGAGGGTTTCGGGCTCAATCTAGAACTGATTGTAGGAACTTTCCAGAAGTCAGTTGTGGTCGGCAAACTTCGGCTGGGAGCTGCAGATGCACCAAACAACACGCCAAAACCCTGACTTCGAATCCTGTCGGAAGTCGAAGGACATGGTTCCACGCAAATCAGTCTAGGGATTCGGGCTCGGGGTTGCGGGTCCTTCAGCCATGATCGTTGGACCCGAGTTCTTCAAAATTACACTGTCGACATTGCGAAGAGAATGCTTTTGATTTTGGAATAACGCGAATTGCTCAAACCCCAGCCCTGAATACCTCTCCCTGTAAACCCCCCACATCCCCTATTGGGTAACCTCGACATACCTCGACTCATACACAGCTCTGCACCGGAGTCCAGTTTCAAGATTCGCATACGAAACACACTGATGGCCCAAGCTTTTGAAGGCTACGGGTTTAGGACCAAGGCTTAGGCATCCCACGCGCATAGCAACTATTGATTCGTCGGATCCTGTGATGCGGGCGCGGCTGCAGCTTGGAAAGGACCTCAAACAAACGAGGCACCAGGAGAGTGCATATCCCGCTTAAACCTTGATGTTCAGGTCTGCTTCGGATGTCAAACATTCATAGACATGTGGTCGCAAACAACGAGGCTTAGGCCGCTTAGCGATGCTTCCTGAAAGTCAATGAACCACTGAGCTGCTTCGGGTCTATCGATTGTGCTAAACCTTTCCAAAGATACTACGGCTTTGCACTCGTTAGGTGCGGGGGAAAAGCTTGGGGTTTATATAAGTCTGTGGTGCGTAATAAAATGATTTGGCCGCGCAACATGCAAACAACCAGCTGCACGACACATGCTACCCTGTATGCCTGCACACCAGGCAGCAATGTGTTGTACTTCCATGTCTTCATGCCCGCAATGCCCGGACACGTCACACAACCAAATCCATAAACACTTAGCACAGATAAAAGAGGAAATAAATAGAGGGAACAGCCGGGTCTTGAAATCGTATTTGGACGTTGAAAACATGAAATCTGTATGACTGGATCTAAGCCGGTTGCAGTCTTACACGTTTGGATCCGGTTGCGGTGGGCGGAGATCATTACCAATACTTTTTGTACCGCACGCGACTCTCAAACCTTACCATACAGCTACTATATACTGGCAAAGCAAGACATCATAGTTGTTATAAATGCAAGAAGCGCCATGTTTTGACCGTAAACCCGAAACCACTTCACAACTGAACCTCCTATCCTGCGGTGTTGCATCATTCGTTTTGCATGTTGGGACCTCAAGGGTCAAAGTACAGATTTTTCAGAAAATAAAGCTTATGGGGCCTATACGTTTTCAGGTTCAAGGATAATTCCAAAATTGCGAATGAATCTAGGTAACTATAAACTTCGGGTCGCTACCCTTTTCTGGCCCAATCTCAGGAAGGTGCTTTTTACCATCAGAGTACGGCGGTAACCATATCCCTTGGAATGCAACTGGGCACCACCGCATCGTTCGGGGTGTTCTGTTCTGGTCCCTCAGCACACGATCTCAGCAGATCATTGTTTAAATCCCAAACCTTCAACAGAAGTACCGTGAATTAACCATTCACCACGATTGAACACTGCGACAATACTACAAGTCACAGGGCCAGTTGCAATCCTGACCGCGGCATACCGTGGCACTCGTAAGGCTTCCCTTAACCCTAAACCCCAAACCTACAAGATTCCAATGACCACAAAAGTGTGCTTCGGCTTTATGGCTGAACTGATACCACGCTAAACCCACGAAACCCAATCTTCCGGTGCCCTATACTATAGTCCCTACAACGTTAGGAACAAATACCAGCGGCTTGCAAGAAAAACACAGACACAAGGATCGCATTGATGATGAGAGCCCATATATTCCTAATGTAAGACCCTTACGCTGCTTTTGTCCTTTTGGAGGGCCTTCCAGCTCTGAAAACCCTGACCTTCAGAATTGAGGCCAAACTAAAGCCTCCAAGACCCAAGAAGTAACACAAGAGGTAACAGACGGGAAAGGGTTTAGGGTTTAGGGACCTCAAACTCCTAAAACCCCCCAAGAGTCTAAGAGGATTAGGGTTTAGGGTCTAGGGTTTAGGGTTTAGGGTTTAGGGTTTAGGGGTTTAGGGTTTAGGGTTTAGGGAAGTTTGGGTTTACCTCCTGTGTCCCTGAACTCCTTCCAGGGCATACAAAGTACCGGTTTAGGGCTTAGGGCTTCGGGTTTAGGGCTTTGGGTTTAAAAGGATGTGCTTTAGGGCTTAGGGCTTGGGGTTTAGGGCTTTGGGTTTAAAAGGTTTTGGTTTAGGATTTAGGGTTTAGGGTTTAGGGCTTTGGGTTTAGGGTCTCCACCCTCCGTCTGCCCCCTGGCGAGCCCACTCACGGGCACCGGTGCCGATGCTTGTGGAGCAGGAGGGGAAGGTTCGACAACACCCTGGGGCGCAGGGCATTCTCTAAACCCTGGACCCTAAACCGTTGCGGAGGGTAGGGCCTAGGGTTCCAGGGTTTAGGGTTGCGGGTCTGAGGACCACGGATTTTGTGAAGCGCTCTTCAAAGGGTTCCTTCAGGGGTGTCTTACCCAAGGGTTCGCATAAGAGGAATCTGCAAGGCTGTCAGGGTTCTGTTGGGGCTGTATAGGGCCTCGGGGTTTAAGATACACAGGCTTTGGGGTTTCGGCTCAACCACTATACCCTAAACCGCAGTCCCTTACAATCTTTGACGCCTACATACAAGGCATGTAGCATGTTCAACGACATGGTTTACTTTTACTTCGGATCGCCGAAACCCTAAACCCTAAACCCTAATTACAACATTTGGTTCAGATTCGGCCCGCTGGATCTTCAGAGGTTTTGGGATACGGGTTTGAAGTTTTCGGGTTTTGGGCTTAGGGAGGAGGCTTAGCAGGCTGTGTGAGCGCGCAGTAATCTAAACTCTAAACCCTAAACCCTAAACCATAAGGCTACATCGAATGACTGACACGGCCTGAGACTTGCTTTAGTGCGTGAGACAATGTCTTGCAATAGGGCTGTGCTCAGAAGAACACAACACGCACACATCCACACATTCAAGAACAGCAGCTACGTATGTGAAGACTCTTATGACGACTTCAGCTCTACTGAACCCCAAACCCAAAACCCCTATGCCACGGCTAGTTGTTAGTGTTCCTGTAGGGGATCAGGCCTCGGATAAGTCCTCGAAGCGGTTAAGGTTTAGGGTTTAAGGCATAGGGTATAGAAACTTAGGTTTCAGCATTTAGGCCTACAAGCTCTTAATCTGAATCTAGAGAGTCGATGGCCTAAAATAAACAGTACAAGCCTTCATCAGCTTAATGGCTTCTGGGTTTGGGGTTCAGGGTTTAAGGCTTCAGGGTTGAGGGTTCAGCGTCTAATGTCGGCTGTACCTCCAAACCCTAAACCCTAAACCCTAAACCCTAAACCACAAACGAAGGCCTGTAGTCAGCCTATCTTGTGTAATTGCATGGGCATATACGTAGGGATATGCATACCAGAGTGGGGCTCTACACAGATATAACTCCAGCTGCCTGTCGCGGATCCTTTAAGCGCATATGTCTGGTGGTGCAGGCAGAGCGATTTCCCTAAGCCCTAGACCCTATAGGGTTTAGGGTTCCGGAACGACGTTCAACAGATCTCGACACCCGAATGGAGTCTTGTCAAGGAGATATGTTGTCATCTAGATGGGACTCTGATCCTAACCTATATATAACCATATATGGAAAGCTCCGCAATCCAAACCCCGCAAACCCTAATCTGCGCGGCATTGCGCGGAAGATGCCTCTGCTGGTGGAGAGGCCGCAGTGGCATTAGCAGGCCTGGGTTAGTGTAGTTTAAGCTTTAGGGTAGGGTTCACGGTTTCGGGTTAGGCGTTACAGCTGGTAGCAAGGGCTTAGGTACAGAGGGAGCAAAGCTGAAGGGCTGAGAGCAAAGAAAGAGCTTGGGGGTGAGGGACATAAAACTGTTACGAGTTTGAGGCTTGAGGTCCCTAACCCTAAACCTGTCCCAAAACCTAAACCCTAAAACCCTAAAACCCTAAACCCTAAACCCTAAACCCTATAATTTAGGGTTTAGGGTTTAGGGTTTAGGGTAACCCTAAACCCCTAAACCCTAAACCACAGGCCTTTCAACCAATAAAGCCGGAAGCGTGGGTCCAGGGAACGCCTGGCCGACGGCCCTGAAGCCAAGCCCTACGATCAGACCTGAGAGCCCAAAGCCTAGAAGAGGTTTAGGGGTTTGGGGTTTTAGGGCCCTACGGTCTAGGGTTTGGGTTTTGGGGCTTAGGATATAGGGTTTAGGGTTTAGGGTTTAGGATTTATAGGGTTTAGGACTTATGGTTTTAGGGTTTAGGGTGTAGGGCTAGCGTTTAGGGTGTAGGTCCTAGGGTTTAGGGTTTAGGGCTTTGGGTTTAGAGTTTAGGGTTGGGAGCTCTAAGTTCAAAGCACCCGGAGTCCTAAACTCGAAAAACGCCGAAACCCTGAGCTCTGAAAACCCCAAGCTAGACCGTCTCCGCGTTGTCGGCCCTAGTTGCCCCAAACCCTAACCTAAACAAACCCTAAACCCTAAATCAAACCCCTAAACCCTGAAGTCGTGAACGTGTCCGGGTACAGGTTTGAGGGTCTTCGGGTTGAACATTCAGCGTCCTCTAGGGATAAAGGTTTAGGGTTTCTAGGGTTCCAAGGGTTTCTAGGTAGTTTAGGATCTAGAAGGTTAAGGTTTTTAAGAGTGTAAGGTTGGATTTTCTGCTCGGGGCTTCTAGGGTTAAGGGTTTAAGGCTCTCAGGGCTTTAGAGCCTAGGTTTTGCTTATAAGGCTTGCATTAAGATTTTGATAAATCTACGGTGTAGAGTGTAGACTTCAGGAACCGTGAGCTTGCGTTTGCACAACATGGCTCTTTGCTTCATAAAGCAAGGTCTCAGAGAAATCTGAATGCCCCGTAGAAGCTTCAAAGCAAAACAGCTACTAACAACGCTGAAGGCAGATACCCTAAAACCCTAAACCCTAGACCCTCGGCCCTAAAAACTCTAAACCCTAAGCCCTAAAGCATGAACCCGGAAGTTTAAGCAAAAAGCGTTAACACGGGAGTTTAAGCATAAATCTAACCCTGGACCAGTCAAGGTGGAGACCAGAGCTGTTTCGGGCACACTACGTCCAAACGGCTAGTGTTTAGGGTTTAGGGCTCAGTATCTAGGGAGCTCTAAGACTTAGGGTTGCGTGAGACATGCCCTGAATTGCTGGCCGACACCATTTGAGGTTTAGGGTTTAGGGTTTAGCGTGACACAGACTAGACTATGTTATATTCCCCAACGATGACCCCAACACGTAGGACCCCTGATCCCGAAACGTGCAACCCCAGGCGTCGTGTCATGCTTATTAAGCGCCATGTAATATGAGTCGCCATATAGAATCTGCATAAGGCCCCGGTGTCCTAAACCCTAAACCCTCTAACTTAGGGTGTAGGGTTTAGGGTCCACATGCTTGGATGCCGACGCGGTTGGATGCGTCTTCTTCCACCATTCGACCTGAGGGTCTGTGTGGAACTTACAAGCCCTAAACCCTAAACCCTAAACCGTAGCAAGCCCTTCCACAAAAACATCTGAAACCTCCCTCTCGGGCAGTGTTTCATCAAACTTGTGGTGTATGTCATGATGTTACTCTGTGTTTATAAATATGTGTATATATTATATATAGGCACTTATAGGCACACATGCATGTAAGATGCATCTGCTGGCAACCCTGTAGAATAACGAACTTCAAGAATCCAACACTGCCAATCTTTTGAATCTCACGGTCAACAAGTCTACAGTCTACAACACCTCAAGCCTATAACCCCAAACCCTACAGTCAACAGCACCTGAACAGTGCAGACACCCATGTCAATGTGAGCTTGCTCACATAGAAGAGCACGCATCTTTGTCGTCATCTGCTTCGCGACTGCTAAAATCTATGCACCCTAGGTGGTTTAAGGTTTAGGGTTTAGGGCCTAGACCACAAGCACCCGTTTGAGCGTGTCTGACCCTGATTCGGGCGGGATTAGGTGGAAGGGTTGGCTTTCAAGGTATAGCATCAATACACAATACACTTATGTAGGAACTATGATGGGATAGTGCTACCACTTATCCAGACCTGTGTATCATAGGCTCTACATGGATCATGGGCTCAGCGACTACAGTACTCTTCGACACGCTAAATCCCAAACCCCATTGTACACGGTAGAATGATTCGAGGTGTCATTGCACGTCAGCCCCGATGTGCCCCCCCTAAACCCTAAACCCTAAACCCTAAACCCAAAACCCTAAACCCTAAACCCTAAACCCTAAACCCTACACCCTAAACCCGAAGCGCTGGACCTGGGAGGGTCCAGGCTCCCATTTTTTCAGGGCTCCTCTTAAAGGGTTTAGGATTTAGGGGTTCGTTTCAAACCTCTACAAGGGATCCATTTAGGGGCGCTCTACTCCATCAATGCCGGTTTAGGCTGTACCTGTGGCCCAAACGACCTACCTCTTTAGGGACCCATAGGCAGAAACCATAACAAGGAACCCTAAAATGGCAGGTCTTTTCGGCTACAGGTATACCCGAAGCCAGTGGGACCCGATACTTGCTGTGTAATGGCGTGTGCTTGATACCTACCTGTTTAGTGTTTAGGTTCTTAGCGTGCTTTTTATATAGATGGTTTTAGAGTTGAGGGTTTTAGATGGTTTCAGGGTTTAGGGTTTAGGGTTGCGCCTAAAGAACTGCTAAACGCTACGCAACCCCAAACTCCAAAGACACTGCTCGAACCCGTATGAGTTGACCCTACCCAAAGGCTTCATGTACCTATATAGTACAGACTTCGCTACAGGCACCCCTTGAAGGCCCTGGTCTATACTACATGGGCACATTGGGGCTTAAACCCTAAACCCTAAACCCTAAACCCTAAACCCTATCCCTGAAGACTTAACCTTCGTCATACCCAGGTCTGCGGCATACTCCTCGTGAGTCATCTTGGTGAAGTCAGGCAGCGCCTCCTCCTTCATGGAGCTTCGGGTTTTAGGGTTTAGGGTTTAGGGGCTTAGGGCTTGGGGTTTAGGGTTCAGGGGTTTAGGGTTTAGGGTTTAGGGCTTGTGGGAAGTGTCTTCTTTTCTAAGACCCTGCGCTGACAAGCCCGGACGCTTCAACTTTGAGCCCTGGACTCACAAACGGAGACCTTAGCAACATAGCGAAAGAAGCCTCAAGTTTTAAAACAGGGCTCTGGATACAGTTTGACGTAACCACAGAACCCTGGCATAAACCCTAAACCCTAAACCCGAAGCCCTAAACCCTAAACCCTATCCATGTTACCTCTCTTCCACCGCCCCGGCCTTGGCGTCAGAGCCACGGCGGCGCCTTGGGCTCTGGAAGGCTTCAGAGCTCATGGGTGAATCCGAAACCCTACAAGCCCTCAAACTCTAAAACCCTAAACCCTGAACCGAACCCTGAACCCTCAACCCTATAGGCCCTAAAGACTGAACCCTAAACCCTGAAC